TGCTAGGCTCAGGGGCGTACAGCTGTGATAGGCCTCAGGCCAACAAGGCTGTTGTCAGTTCTCTTAGGAGTGCAGCTGAGTGGGGCTAGCCCTTGGCATGGGAGCGCTCAATTGTTTCAGGCTTTGGAAGGTGGGGCTGATCCTTTTTATGTCTATTTGTGAAGCACAAGTTTTCTGCTGCTGATAAGCCTCACCCCCCACAGGACCACATACACTGTCAACACAGTCCTGGTCTGTGCACTCTTCTCAACCCCCTGGAGAGCACCCCAATGCCACACCCCAGAGGCCCCCACCTCTCCACCAGTGCCCCCCACAGTTCACCTGGTCCTCACACAGGCCCTGCCCCACAGAGGCAGAAACCCTTTCCTGCCTGCAGAGAACCAAGGCACCCAGTCAATGCAGGCTGAAAAGTAGCCTGAAGGCTTGCCATTAGGTGGGGCCAGTCCCCAGGGTGGGTCACCTGTCCTGGCTGAACTGGATTAAATCTGTGCTCTAGTGGGCATGGCAGACCCCTGGGCCAACAGCCCAAGGGATGAACCCCAGTGGCCCCCACCGGTGTCCGTATCAGCATGCCTGGACCAGCTCAGAACAATGGCCCCCACCAATGTCTCAGTCTCCAGAGAGGTCCCTCCTCTCACCAAGATGCCCCCAGAGCCAACCAGGTGAGTCTTGTTTCACCAAAGGACTGTCAGCCTTCTCTCTGGTGATTTTAGGTTGCAGCAATGAGTGAGTTTGTGCATGGGCCCTTTAAGACCCGGGTCTTTTCGGCTTTCGGCCGATAGCTTTTCTGGGGGTGTCCCTGCTGCAGTCAATAGCCAGCAAAGCCAGACAGTAAGACCCCCGTCTCAGTTGGGCTGAGTCCGAAGGATGCTTATAGCCGTATCGCCCCCACTCCGGACCTCACTCCTCCAGGGAGGGCTGCATACCTTAGGGTGGCTCCCGCCTGGCCAGCTGAGAAGCTCCGCTGCTCCCAAAGGTGGCTTTTTTCCTCTCCATCGGTAATTACTGCCTCTTCTGCCTTCATCAGGACTGTCCCTCGTCGTGGGGGTTCTTCTTATCCAGTTTTCAGTTTTCAATCCAGGGTAATTTTTCCAAAAATTGTTGTAACCTGGTTGTGTTCGTGGGAGGAGATGAGTTCAACATCTGCTCACACCGCCATCTTGATGAGATCTCAATCCTTTGTATTTCTGAAGTATCAGTTGTAACTTCTCCTCTTTCATTTCTGATTTTATTTATTCTCCTCTCCCCTTGCCAGAAACACAAGAGAATTCTTCTCCAGTCTTCACAGTGAGAATCTGATAGGGCTCGTGAAGGTAAAACTCATGAAAGTGGGGAACCACCCAAGACTGGGACCCCTTGGAGTTTTTAGGTCTTAAGCTAATTCACACTGAGCCTCTTGCAGTCTGTCAATTACAGTTGTAAAGTGTTCTTACTGATACTTCAGCTGCAAGCTTCTGCTCCTGGTAAGCTATGGTTCTCTGTATCTACCTGTCTGTCTCTCCATCTTTCAGACGAGCAGTTTGCCTTGTAACCTCAATTCTCTGATGGATCTAAAAAGTGTTGATTTTAAGTTTGTTCAAGTTTTTTCTTGTGAGTATGAGAATGACCAGTTCCAAGCTCTGGATATGTCAAACCAGAAACTGGAAGTATATACATTTATTTTTAAATTTTCAAAACACATCTAGAATAAATTAATCTTTCTGAGTTTTTGGCTAACCTTAAAATACCTGTGAGCTGTGTGACCTTGTACAATTTCTTTAATCCATCTCTTCACCTATAAAACAAGCATAATATACCTACTCTGCTGGATTGTTATAAGACCTAATTGAGATAGGTAAAGCAACTAACACAGTGCATGGCTCATATATGTTTAATAAATGTTAGCTTTAGTTATTATGGCATTTATCTTCATCAGAATCCTAATCCTTAAAAACAGACAAAATATATAGTATTACCCAATTTAGAATAAGAAGAATCATAAGAAAAGGGTCTCTTTCCCTATGGTCAGTTTGTGGTTGAGTCAGGACCAGAATCTGGCTAGGACTGCTGCTGGCTTCCATGGCCCTGATGCTGTTACAGTACCCCTGTTTCTTAATGCCAGATAGCAAATTGCCTGCCCACATTTATTGAAATCTGTCAGATCTCAATTTTACTCCTATGAGAGCAGTCCCAGGGACTACACAGCTGTCTGTCCCACTCTGATGCATTTGTGGGTTTGCCTGCAGAAAGCATGATGGTTACAAATAGAAGGGATTAGAATGATATAGAAATGCAGCCTGTTATCATAGAAACAGACATGTGACACTCGTAGTGCTCTAAGTAGGTGTGAAAAAGGTTCTGAGGCATATAGAGAAAATAAGTCAATATGTCTAAAAGGTTATAGAACTCAGCAGAGGTTACTGCTTTTGCTTTGGGTCAAGATGCTCATATCTAGTATGGGATAGTTCTAGCTCCCTGGCATTATCTCTCTAGAAGCTGGAAAACTACAGTGGCCTCAAGCAAAAGAAATGGGTATGGTAGATATAGAGCCAGGGCTTAGAGGTCCACGTTGAAACTCATAAGAATTATTTATTGGCCATGGTGAGCTATATTAGAACAAGAAGGAACTCCTATACTGCTGTGATGATGTACTCACTAACACTTGTGGGAAATGTGATGCAATCTAATGGCAATCTTGTCTATACTTGTTTAGCCTCATTTTTTTCCAAGGGATCTGCCAAATGTCCACTGAGTAGATGCTCTCCTTCAGCGTTTCTGTGACACAAGAAGGAGTGGAGGAAAAGCCTGGCTTTGAGCCCCTGTTGCTCTCAGCACTCTTCATATCATGGTCATTTTGGAAAATAAAAATAAAAATTTTAGTTAGCTCCCTACCTCACTCTGTATACCAAAATCTGTACTAGATTAAAGATTTAAATATTAAAAAATGAAATCATAAAAGAACTAGAAAAAATAGTTACCTATACAATGCTGATATATCCATATTAAAAATGATTATATAGAAATGTAGCTACTGACAGAAAAAAGTTATCAAACAACATTTTTATTTGATCCTACTTTTAAAAAATACATATTTATATGCATAGAAAATTTCTAGATATGCATAAAAATATTAATAGTGGTTAATTGTGGGTAGTTTAATAAGCTATTTTTTCTTTTTGCTCTCCTTTTTTATGAACTATGCATGCATTTATGTACATATAATGAATAGATATTTATGGTATAAAAGTAATAGAAGTTTGGGGCCAGCCCCATGGCATAGTGGTTAAGTTCATTGCGCTCCACTTCAGCGCCCCAGGTCCGTGGGTTCAGATACTGGGCACGGGCCTACACCACTCATCAGCCATGCTGTGGTAGCAACCCACATATAAAGTGGAGGAAGATTAGCATGGATGTTAGCTCAGGGCTGATCTTCCTCAAGTAAAAAAAGAGGGAGATTGGCAACAGATGTTAGCTCAGGACTAATCTTCCTCAGCAAAATAAATAAATAAATAAAAGTTTAAAAAAATGTTTAAACCTCCCTTTCCCTCTTTTCACATGTGGATTTGGGTCAAACTTCCTCTGGGAAGTTTTTTTTCTCACCTAGCCAGTATAATTCCTTAAGTCTCCCCTCTAGTATTTTCCTATCCAGCTGTAAGTTCTTTGAGGATGGAGTTGTGTTTCATTATTTACTGTGCTACCTTCCATAGGCGTGCTCAGTAAGGACTGGTTGCTTGGTCATGGTCTGATTTCCTCAAAGCCTGCTTTGAAGTCTGATGTAACAATGCTAACCCTTTAACCAGCTGAAATTGTCAGAAACTTGGCCAGGGCCAGTCTCTGCTCCTTCCAGCACAACTTGTCTATGAGGGCAATGTGGCTGCAATGGCTGTCATCCCACTGCTCTTCTAGGCTGAGGTGGCTGATGGGACTGGGCCTTTCTATGTAAATCCTTCCCCAAATAACCTTCTTGTTCAAGGAGGTAGCCCTTCTCAGGTTGAGTTGCTGCCTCTTAGTCAGTAGTATCTATGTAGCTGTGCTTCCTTTCCAGAACCTCCATGCACATTCTCAAGAACTCTCAATGCTGTTTAAAAAAAAAAAAATAAAGGATAAGCAGCAAAGAAAGAAGACAAAGGAGTGGGAGGAGAGAAAAGGAGAAAAAACAATGATAATAGAATGGAGATTCATGACCTTAAGTGCAGCAGGTTGCTAAACCCAAACTAAAATAACCCCTGCACATAATAATACCTACTGTTAGACATGAAATTAGTTTGTCAGGGAAGTCTACACAGGCATTGGTTTTCCAGGTACCTGTGCAAGCTCTGATGGTCACACTGGCAGCCTTCCACGTTAGAGACTTTATTGACTTCTGACTGACCCTGCTCGGGTAGAACATCTGATAGAGCCTGCTCTTAGAGGTAAAGATCATTTCAGGCTTGTTGCAAGGATAAAATGAGATGATAGATGGAAACAGGGCTTATAAACTATAAAACAATATACAAATGCTTGGTGTTCTTTTTGTAAGTTCCTGAGGACAACGATAGTGGTTTAATATTGTCCAATAGAGTCTTCATGGGAGTTTGGAACAGATTTTAAATCTCTATATCTAAAGAAAATCAAATCTACCTACAGAATGAAGAGAATTGAGTCCCCAGGAGGAAAAAACATGTCTGGGAGATACATAAACTGTGTATGTCTGGGGAGTGGTTGTCACCTAACTATATGAGAAAAGCCTTGTGCTTTCTGAGAGCCCTCAACTGATTAGAATTGTTTTCTTTAGAAATAATTCCCCCAAAAAGGCTTGTGATTTCATTGTCGATGAAACTGTTGACACTTCTTTTAAAGTGTTTGTTAACTTATGGTAAATTACAGTGGGAGTGTATGTGGCCCCACATGAATGTATTATGGTTGCACTGTTTTAATAACTAACAATCTAAATCACAATAAGGAAGAGACTAAAAGGTAAACTGCTGCTGCTCTGCTCCTTCCATGAAAATGACCCTTTTTTCCTTCCAGCTGCAACACATGAGACTTCATGTTGGTTCCTCACCAGAATGCATGACTCTTCAATCTCGGGACTCGCAGAATTAATGGAATGCCGTCCTAAGGTTGTTGAGTTCTGCGTTTCTGGGCATTTCATCTCTGTGGGGAAGTACCCATTCCTTCACGCGAAAGACTGAGCCTGAAAGATGTTTCTCCCTAGAGAAGAGTCTTGTAACTTTCTTGTTACAACAGCCAGAAAACAGTCAGAAACAGACTAGGGAGGTTTAATAGTTAGGAAATACCTTGCCAATAACATGACCCTTGGTGTGGGGCTCCCTCAAATTTGCAGTGTCTTGGGGGGGTCCCTCCTGTGACTGTCTTAGAGAATGAACACTTTCTGTTAATTTCAAGTGACTTAATTTTCTATTTTCTTTTTTAACAGGTCCAGTTAAAAACAAGAAAAAGGGTAAGTTAAGCTCTTGATTTTGTAAAATTACTGTCATGTCATGTCTTTTCTAAAATTAGAAGAAAAAAATTAAGGGAGTAGGATTTTTATATTATATCCTTTCAATGCTGGTTGTCCACTATTTTTCTCAATCACATGTGATCTTGAGTATTGTAGCTTCCAAGGAAAAAGAAATAGAAATCGTTTTTCAGTGATGATCCATGAAAGATAGAATTGCTTCTCTAGCAACATGTGAAAGTTGTTTTGGTTTTTCTTTCTTGCTCCCTCTTGTGTACTGTTTAGTTTACATCTCTTTCCTTCATTCTTCCTTACTCTTTCCCCTGCCCTTCTCCTTTATCTTTTTTTCCCTTCCTTTATCATATCAGTAATCAGGTATGAATGAAGTCCTGAGACAGCTTGTAGGGACTAGATATGCTACCTCCTGAGAGATGACAGTACCCTATTTCTTGGCCTAAAAGCCATCCCTACCCTATTTCCCAAATAGTCAGGGAAGGTATTTCTTGCTTTGAGGTTTCAATATAAAGAAGCTTCTAGTTGAATGGGTCCATTGTGCCTTGTTGGGTCAGTAAGTCTCCAGTGTACTTGCAATGGGACTGGCTCAAGAGCTTGTACAAGTACTTGCTTACTTGAAGAGGAAAACCCAAAGATGGAACAGGTCCTAAAAGACAAGACCAGGCAAAATGATCCACTTCTTAGGACTAAAAGAACCAACTATAAAACTGGTTTTAAGTATCCATTCATTTCTGTGTTCTGACATGGAAGGAAAATAGACTGGAATTAATTGTTTTTCTTTAAAATGCTTTAAGTGAAATGATTCTGTCTGTTAAGATTTCTGGACCTTCATAGAGTGGATTATCAACCCCAGACTAGGCCAAAAAGACTGGCTTCAGCCACCACCTGCCACTTCTCTGAGCACTAGGGTAGTCTGGTGGCTCGAGGTACCATGGCTCACATGGAAAACCTGTGTCCCTGTTGTAAAGAAGCTGAGGAATGGCTTGGCCTCCTGAGGGCCTCAGCTGAGCAAAGTTGGGAAACAGCCAGAGAGCTGGAGTCAGTGAGGAAATCTTTTCCATGGGGCCTGGGCATTCACCAAGATATTTCATCTTTTAAGAAAGTAAATTTGATTTTTAAGCATGTACTTTTTAACTCTTGCCATGTCCCTTTAAGACAGAACTATAACAACCCTAGGAACCTCACCTGGTTTGGACACAGACACCCTCTGCTCCTAACACAAACCGAGGGATGACTTCCCTTCTTAATAGGTAGGCTTGAGAGCACCTTCTAATTACAGCTACTCACTTTTTTCCACTTGCTCATTCACTAGACAGTGAATAAGCATCTTATATTTGTCAGGAATAGAGACACAGAGATGAAGAAAAATGGTTCCTTCCCTCAAAAATCTCCCAGTGTAATTGGAATAGTGGAAGTACACACAAATAATTACAGTACACTATAAAAAATGCTGTCATAGAAGCATGAACAGGGTGCTTTGGGAGCACAGAGAAGGAGCAAGTAGTTCTCTCTGGGAGACTAAGGGACCACATCGCAGAGAAAACAGCATTTGACCTAGATTTTGAAGGATGTGGGAAAAAAAAAAAGAGGGGGAAGGACATTCTAGCAAGGGGAACAGCATACTCAGATCTCTCAGAGGCTTGAAAGAACATGGTATGTTTAGGGGAACAGCAAGTAGGCTAGTGATTTACCAGAGTATAGCACGTGTGTGGTGGGGAGCAGTACCCAGTCGCAGTGTTATCCAATGGATGAGCACTGAGAGAACACACTTGCTAGTGGCAATAGAAGGCAGTTATCTAGGCTAGAAGCTCTGGAATTACACCTCGGAGATTCCAATGCCTTTGGCAGGGACCGGAAATACTGCCCAGCACTGCTACCTTGTATATGGGCCATTATTGGGAGGAGAATACACATAGGCCTTAAACATTTACTTTGTCTGGAAGTGATTTAGAAGCCATTTAATACAGATTTCCTTGGACACAGTGAATAGGCACATGCCTGAAGAGGTAAATTGAGTTGTTCGTTTAATTTCCATCCTTTAATGGAATTTTCCCCCTCTCACAACTAACTCACTCATGCACACTTTCTCTCACACTCTCTCACTCACTTTTGCTCACTCACTTTTAGTTGTTATTTCAACAATTTGGGCTTAGCTAAAGGTTAGGGAAATGCTCCTTTCATGAAATTTAGCTTTGAAAAGAATTTATATATTCTTTCATCTAAGACTAACAGGGTAACTTTCTAAGTACAAAAGTCTCTGGGCTTTTGTATCCTGAAGTGCTCTGTTAAAGCAAGGAAATCCAGAGAAGGAATTCAATCCTCCAGTCACCCTCTTGGTCCATGGGTTATTTTGTACATGCTCCTCTCCAACTTTTGGTAAGTATGCAGATATGAGAAGCACACTTGCATAAACCTGGTTGCAGAGGAGCAAAGAGGACCAGCTGCAGAACTAGATCATGGGAGGAGCTTTTTCCCAAATGCCTTTTAACGTTTTCATAAGTGAACATTCTCTGTTTACACTGCAACCATTATTCTCTTTGACTGGAGGAGTTTCTGGGTGTAATTCTTCCAAAATTATATTAGCAATCACAGGAGACTCATAGTCTTGACACTGAAGTTTGTACTACCCCCAGAATACCCTCTAGCTTGAAAATCACTGTTAGGCTTAGAAATTCTGGGACATAGGACCACCTAATATGCACCATCCTCTGTGTCTACACCACCCAGAAAACAATGAGGAAGAAGCAAACCTTACAACCAGGCTAGGGAAGTTTCCTGACTGCCAGGGGTAAGACAGTCTTCCTTATAGAACCTCAGTCTTAGGAGGAAACTTAGAGAAATCATCAAGGCCAAGCTCCTCATTTCATCAATGGAGAAACTAAGGCTCAGGGAGAGGAATGGATTTGCCCAAAGTGCGTCTATGGCGGAGCAAGGGCTTACAGCCTTATCTCCTGGCTACAGATTCTGTGTTCTTTCCACTACACTAGCTGGAATTGAAACTTGGGCGCTGAATAAGCCTGACTTGGAAGCTGCCCAAATCTGAAGGGAGATGGTTTTCTTGTTCAGCATCTTGAAATTGGCTAGATCTAGAAACTAGAGAGATCTAATCTTTTGCTGCTAAGTGCAGAGAAAATGCTAAAACTCCTGCCTCTAATTCTTTAAGGCTACAAGGACTCTCACTGAGAAAAGACTCTCTGGACCGTCCTTTCTTTCCTCCCTGGGGAATAGGCTCCACAATGACCCCACTGTTTCATTCCAAATGCAGATGTGGTCAGACATGGTCAACTGGCCTCTTGAGTGGTGTTGCCATAGAGACTGGGTTTCTTCAACATACGACATTATTCTTAAAGGAGGACCTGATAAATCAGGACAGGATTCTCCTGCCTAAGAGTCTGAGGAGCAGGAAGTTGGAGTCAGTAAGAAGGTATTTAAGAGAGACTTGAGGGTTACATTTAAAAGTAAGAAAGTGCCACAGGTAAAGACACTGTGATGGAGTCTGGTAAAGGGCTTCCATTCCTGGGACTTCAACAAAATTATAAGAAATTGATGAAGAGAAGAAGAAGACACCCACCCGTGGCCACCTGCAGTGCTTGAATTGGTCTGCACAGAGCAGAGAAAGTAAACAGGAGGAGCTGGAGGTTTTGATTCAAGATCACAGTTATGACTCAGTTAACTACATTCTGGTGGGAATGTTGGAAGGACTGTAATATGGACTAGGAGGGCCAAGACTGTTCTGAAAGAATAGAGAGGAGGGAAAGGGGAAGACTTGGTGGGCTTGATTAACAATACATTTGAGAATAGAGCCTCTGAGGAAAGACTCTGGGAAGCCAGATTATTTAGCCTATAAAAATGGAAGCTGATAGGTGATTTAATGTCTTTGAGCACATGAGGGTTATTATGTGTATAATGGTAACTATTCTTCTCTATCTACACAAAGAATAGAATAAGAGCTTAAACTGCCACAGGAGGGATTTCAGTTAAATATACGGAAGAACTTTCTGACAGTGAGGGGTGATAGATATTGGAACATCTTACCAAGGGAGTTTTCAAAATTTCCTTTCCCAGAGATCTTTAAAAATAGGGTGTAGATAGGTCAGCTGAGAAAGCAAAACCTGCCTTCTGCCTCCTCCTCAGCTCTTTCTACTCTCTGCCTCCCCTTCTTTTCTTATGTTTCTCTCTCTCCCTCTCCACATGCCCCCCACCTCTCATCTCCCAAACTCCTTCCCATTCCTCATTTCTAGCTAGCACCACCTCCATCCCAACCCCCAGTTCCTGTACATCCTGATTCCTATACGAAACCTTCCTGGAGCTGATGTTATTCCTAAGGTCAGGCTGTCCTCCTAGCTTCCTCTTCTCATCTACAGCGAATCCACCAAACTTGGCAATAAGCATGAAAGCTACACCCTTCAACAATAGCCCAATTCTCACTTCTGAAAAGTGACACTTAGGTCTGGCCACTTGGTAATTCCGATCCTTTGGACTCAGCTGGAATGTAACCTCCTTTTTGAAGCATCTCTGACCTCTTCAGCATTTTGTCCCTACCATTAATGTGGCACTTCTCCTATCCTGTGACTGCATCTGTTTCCCCACTAGACTGAGCTCCTTCAGGGCCATGTATGTCTATATCTTCAAACCCAGCTCTGTAAGTGATTATTCATGAAAGGGGGTAAGGAGTGTGTGTGTGTGTGTGTGTGTGTGTGTGTGTGTGTGTGGTGTGCGTGATCAAGATGTCCACCTCTTTAACAGTAGGAACTCCCAGAAGGCTGACTTTGTGTCATTGGAAGTCTGTAGAACTCTTGATAGTACATTCTCAATGAATAACTACAAATGTAACACCAAATCTTGTCTTTCAGGAAAGAAGGCAGGCCCTCCTGGACCCAATGGCCCGCCAGGACCTCCAGGACCTCCTGGACCCCAGGGACCCCCAGGGATTCCAGGGATTCCTGGAATTCCAGGAACAACTGTTATGGGACCACCTGGCCCTCCAGGTCCTCCTGGTCCTCAAGGACCCCCTGGCCTCCAGGGACCTTCTGGTGAGTTCCTCTGTCTCTCCACCCATCTAGGCTTCTTACAAGTACTTTAATAGAGCAAGAGTGGGTGATCCTGAGAGCAGTTTCAAATGGTGGTGATGGCATTGGTGTGCAATAAGAAATGCAGGCCTCCTAGCTCACTGTATAGCTAGGAATTGAACAAGCCAGTAGGGTCTGACCTGCCCTAACTTCTTGTTTATACCAACTTGTCAAGGACAGGCCACTTGTTCTTGACCTGTCTCAACCCTTCCGTCACAAGCCCTCCCTGACCCTAGGCCTCCCTCTAGTGGGCCAGTAAACTCATATGAGCCAGAGACAGAGGCTCTGAGGGTTCACTGGAGTTCTTGTGGGGGGTGGATTTGGACTGCTCTGATTCCCAGCATCTAGCTCCACATGTTTGGTTGGAAACAGGCTGTGGGGAGGAATACTGGGGACTGGACAAAATGACAAGCCCTAGAATAGTCTCATCCCATGAACTCTAAGTGCCTTTACAATAGAGGTAGACATGTAGTTGCTGATGGTCAAGGAGTTGCAAACTTACAAGTCAATCAGGCTGTGGGAGAAGCAAACGCAGGCACCAAGACCATCCAGTCAAGGAATCAAATGCTTCTTGCATTATATCCTTACCCACCACATTGCCCATTTGCATAGGATTTAAGCGCTTTGCATCTTTCCCCACGGGCCCAGGAGGACATCCAAAAAGTATAGATGCAGAGCCAAACCTGCCTAATTGGAGTTGACAGGAGTCAGACTGCCTGGGCTTACATCAGTTGTTATTTCCTTCTCCTGCTTTCCCCTTGTATCTTGGGGCTTTAAAGAAATGGACTCTTTACAGCTGATTTCTCCAGGTTCAAGAATTCTGTAGCAGGACTCAGATTCTTTGACTCATAGTTCAAATCAGGCTAATCGGTGTTAACTGTGGTCACAAGAGACAGAGTTAGGGATTTCTTTCATCCAATCTTCCCACAGTTATTCATTGATCACTTTCTAAGTGCAGGAGATATATTGATAAGTAGTCCCTGTTCTCATGGAGTTTCTGTTCTAGAGGAAGAGAGAGAGACAATTGAAGAAGCAAGATAGTTACAAGTGGCAATGTGTTCTGTGAAGAAAATTAGTAGAAAGGGAGCAAAAGGCTAAAGAAGCAAACAGCATCATCTCAGGGTCACACAGTGACAGGAATACACTCTCTTCTGTCTCTATGGGTGCTCAGTGGGACTTGCCTTGGACCAGCATTGGCAAGAGGTCAGTTTCCCTGCTGGGTGCTGGTCCCACTGAAGATGCAGATCAGGGACAAGTAGAAGAAGGAAGGGATGTCCTCTCCTATCCCAGGGCTTGGATGCAGGGAGCAAGGCTCATGGCCACTGGCTGCCTAGGTAAGGAGAAAGGGAAGTCGAAAGAGCATGGCCTCTGATTGTCCTGTCCTGTTTTGCAGGTGCTGCTGATAAAGCTGGAACTCGAGAAAACCAGGTTGGCTGGAAATTGCTTTCTTCCTGGGGAGGAGGGAAGGACATAGGCTAGAGGCACCTTTGAGTTTGCTCCCTATTAAATTTGCTGGGGCTTTATCTTGTGAGGATACCCTGGAGGTTCTGCAGTTTTTCACTCACAGCCCCCTCCCATCTCTATGAATAGAAAAGCTTTGCCCCAGGGCCTGCCTGTAGCTAGAGGAACTGAATCTTGCCTTGGCCATTTTTCCCCATTCCCCAGGAGACACAAGGTCACTGTATCCAAGCTCAGTAGTCTGCTGAAATGAGCTGTCAGTCAGGTCTATTCACCTGGGCCTCCAACTCCCTAGCCACTCCAGACACCTTGTCTGCGCTCATACTGCCTGGGATCAGGAGCTTAGAAGTTTAAGAGTATGTCCTTGAAAAATCAGCCAACCAGCTCCAGACCAAGCCCAGTCTGGGCTTCTGCCTTAAGGCCTGAAGGGCTCCTCCCTAGTCTTTGAGCTTCCTAATCTGTCTCTATTGGCAGGTTCTGCTGCCTTGCCTTGTCTCATCTCAGCCTCCCTCTCTACAGCTGTTTGGCCACAGTGCTAAATCTACACAGCTGCACAGTGCTTGATGGCTTGCAGGGCAATTTATATCCATCACCTCATTTGATCTTCAGACATCCCTGTGAGAGAGGCCAGACAGAGATTCTTATAATCCCCATTTTACAGTTAGTGAAATGAGGCTCAGAGGCATTATATTTGGCCAAGGTGACATAGCTAGGAAGTGTCAGAGCTACAAAATCATATCACCCTCTAGTAGAAATATGGTCAGTAGCATCCCAAGAGGGAAGAGGGATCAGAAGTGGGATACGAAAGGAGACTAGAAGTCAGATGTGGAAACATGGAAACTGGTGGCTGAGCAAGCAGCCATTTCTCACAGTAACTGTTCTCTCTATCCTTTTCATCCTCCCAGCCAGCTGTGGTGCATCTACAGGGCCAAGGGTCAGCAATTCAAGTCAAGAATGGTAAGAGTCAAAGCAGGCTCTCTCCCTAAGAGGAGCTTCTCCTCTTTCTTATCCTCAGCCTTCAAATAATCACCCAGCCTAGTTCTTCCCAGGCCCCTGAAGTACCCTTGGCACTAGGGCACCATTCTCTACGACATTTGGCCCTCTGCTGGCTGTCCTGGGTAATTGCTTGCACCAAGACCAGCTGTTACACCCAAATTGCTTTTAGAATCACTGATAAGGAAGCTGAAAGGGACTTGAGACATCCTCTAGACTGGGGATTCTTGGGAGATGGAGGCTGTATCAGAGTCACCATGGGAACATGTATAGTTTGATCAACATTTTCACAGTACTAATTGGAGAAGGTAAAACTACATAAAATTAAATTCTTCTTGTCTGATGGATCTACACAGAAAATGGATGGAGGGGGCATTTCTCTCAGGGAAGTGGGGGGCATGTTAGACTCTCCAGGGATTATGAGACGCTAGTGTCTATAAAAAGGGGAAATGGGTTTAATGAGGTTAAGAAACACTGATTTAATATAATCCCTGCATTTAAAAGATGGGGAAACAGAGTCCCAGAGAGATTGGATAATACCATAATAAATCATACTGCCTTATATTTGTATGGTACTTGAGAGTTTTCAACATGCTTTCTGTGTCTTTTATTTTATTTGATCCTCACAACAATCCTATGAGGTAGGTATAGCTCCTTTTTACAGAGACAGAAACCGAAGCTCAGAGAGGTTAACTGGCCCAAGATTTCAGTTAAGCGTAGGAGCTGGGATTCAAAACTACATCTGTCTGACTCTTTGCACTGCACTATGCTACTTCAGTGATGTGTGTGTACACTCCACTGAATGATTAGGTTCATTTTCTTCCCCAAAGAGACATGAACATTCATTAAAGAACAGTGCTTTGAAATAATGTCCAGTCCACAGGGTGCACAAAGCCTAAAACGCATGAACCCCCAGGAGCCTTGGGAAGCAGCAAGCCAGCCAAGAGGCCAGATGCTTACAGAGCTTGGAGTAGAAGGGAGAGCTGTGAGTGCGGAAACAGTAAATGCAGGTTGAGAAACCTGCTACATGGGGACAGCTTCTAAGAGCCCAGGCAGTCCTGAACTGGCTGTGCTGAGCTTCCTTAATGATTGGGCTTAGCTACATCCTGGACTGCCACCTGGATGCCTGACTTAATAGCCTCAGAAATATAAGCAGGAACAGAATAGTACCAAAACCTAAGCGGTCCTGCTGGGACCAGGTGCCTTGGCCCCAGGGCCCTGAGTGGGCCATGGTCACCATCAGTCCAGGGAGGAGTAAGACAAGCAGGAAATAGATTTGTTTGGGTGTCTGTATGGGTGACCTCAGTGTTTATCCTGTGCCAAAAGCTGCTGATTTTGCTCCCAGTACCATGTAACAAGACTGGTTTCAACCCCTCTGGGCCAATCCCTAGTAGTAGTCTATACTGATCTTTAGTTCGACCAGAATCATAAGTGAGGGGGTCAGGCTGGAAGGACGTCATGCAGAGTGGTCCTTTGAAGGGGCAGAGCCAAGGCATCACCTCCTAACTCCTATCCCATCTACTTATCACCTTGAGGGAAGATGGCTATATTTTCCCAGAAGGTTGGTTTCCTCACACCTCAGAGAGGCGGGCCTCCTGACACTAGCCAAGGATGGATGTTCCAAATGTAATTTCTTGGGGGAAGAATGAACGGTTTCGAAGGGAAAAGGCCCCATGGGCTTGGACTCCCTCCTCTCATGGTGGGAAGGAACATCCCTCTTTCTGCAGGATAGAAAGGGAAGCTTTTCCTCCACCCTCACATGCTGGCTCTACACTGTCCAGCCAAGGTGATGTGACTGCTCTTCTGCCCTAAATGGGGTGGGGCTTGAGAGATAGATGCTCTGCCAGGGGTGCCTCAGCTCCCAGATACCCTTACCATCCCCTTGGCTGGTTCTAGTGCTGCTAGGTGGTCTATCTGTCACTCTCATAAAAATCTCTCTCCCCTATGGGGCCCTATTACTGGTGGTCACTTGCTCCAGCTGCCATGAAGTCTGACTCAGGCCTGATGGCTAAGGTTCTCCAGGTGGACAATTCCTTGGGCTGAGTGGTTTCCTGGGGGCCCAGGGAGGCTTTACAGAAAGGAGTGGGTGTGGAGGAACTATAAAAAGGAATCTCTTAAGGAGAAGGATAAAACCCATGAACCGATAAGACAGGAGAGATTCGGGAGCTGTGGCTGGTGAAATAAAATTGTATAATAAGACCTAGCCTGCCACTCAGTGTCTGAACGTTGCCTGTGCAGGCCCCAGAACAACAAAGAAAATAGGGCAGCGTGCCCACTCTCTCCTTACTCCTCGCACCAATTCCAGCTAGAACGTGTTGGTTAAAGACCCTTCCAGATGGAGGGGCCAGGAAAGGAGAGAGGAAGACAGACAGAGAGACCCCAGGGGCCTGAGGCAGGCCTGGCGGCCCCTTTACAAACAAAACACTTCCTCTGCTTCCAAATGTTATTCTTAAAGCTTGGCCTCCTGGGGTATCCAGGTTGCATTGGGATAGGGGTGGGGGGTTGTGTACTGCTTGATATTTCTTGTTTCTATTGCCCAGATTATTCTGACATGTACTGAGTGACTGCCCTTCTCTCATACTGAGATCTTTCAGGTGGAGTGCTCAATGACTGGTCTCGCATCACTATGAACCCCAAGGTGTTTAAGCTACATCCCCGCAGTGGGGAGCTGGAGGTACTCGTGGACGGCACCTACTTCATCTATAGTCAGGTAGAAGTGAGTACGGTCTTAGGCCTAACTCTTCTTATATCCAGAATGCAGATCCGGTGCAGGCCACATAGGGGCACTGTGGAGCAAGTCAAGACCAGCCAATGACTAACTTCCTGCTTCGGCGGGTGAGGGGGGTGGCGGCACCCACACCGCACTGGGAAGGAGTTGAAAGGAGGAAAGAGATGGGGGGGTGGGGGCGCTGTTTTAGCTTTTTCCTCGCCAGATATCACTGAAAAACTGAAAAGAGGCCCCTTCCACAGTCTACTGGAGTCTGATTCCCTCCAGCAGGGTTCCAGGCCCTTGTTTCCCTGCTGAGCTGTTTGGTTCCACTGCCAAACTTGAACTCTATCTCAGTATATTTGAAAAGTCAGTTCCAGGGCTGCCGAGAACCCCTTCCCCCGACACCACTAGCCTTATAGTGAATAGTGCTCCTGCAGACTTTCTCTGCACCTCAAAAGATTTCTGACTGTCTTTCCTTCCTCTTTCTCCCATTTGTTTCTCTACCTTTCTGTTTTTCTGTCATTCTTGCCTCCTTCATGCTGTCATTCTTCCAGCCCTTTTCTTCCTCTGTTTTGTCCTTGTCCTGCCCCAGGCCCACTCCTCAGTCTGCCGGTGCCCATCCACTTCCACTCCTGTTGTTTGCCTCCAGTGGGGTGGCTCCTCAGAGCTAGAAGTAGATGAGTCTTGAGGTTGGGGCTTCTGTGGGGCAGGCAGCAAGCAGGCGGATGGACAGAAGGACTATGGAGCCAGCAGAAGGGTCTCACAGGAGAGTGGCCAGAGAAGGTGGGTTAACAAGCATTTGCTAAGCCCACTAAGCATCCTGGCACAGCTTAGGTCCTGACCCAAGAAATGGCACCTGATTACACTGCTCCCTCCCGAAGAGCCTGTGAAGGGAGCAACCTTTCATAAAGTGATTTAGGGTAACAGATGAGGGTTCCAGCCCCCAGGGAGCACATGAGTGTAATCCCAGTCTTCTATGGGCGATTTGTCCAAAGCTCCCTTTGGTGGGAGGGATCAAAGCTTGGGATGGAGCATGATGGATGAGGGTAGTAAAGGACAGAGAATTTGATTTTCTGGGCCCAGGAGAAAATTAAAAGTGTCCTCGGGCCTTAGATACTTTGCAAACTGGGAAAATCCCCTTGACACCAGGCCATTGAATATAGGTTATCACTTCCTTCTTAGCCACACAGTAAAGTTAGGGGCCTGGGTTTTGTCCTTCCAAATTCTTTGTCTCATTTGTGATGGATAGCTCTCCATCTCTCTGGATCTGTTTCCTCATTCATCAGACAAGAGGGCCAAGGGACACAGAATCAGTGAGAGAAATTCAGCTGCAAGGGACGGGGTGCTGCAAGCTGAGTGAGCAGCTGTCTATTAAAGAGCTGAAGAAATGGCAAATTGTTACTCTGCCCTCTCTGGGGAATCAGTGACTTCTAAGTTTATCCACAAATAGTCCTTGGGGCTTGAAATTGGAAGTTAATTTGTATTCGTTTTTGTCTGTAGCACTGCTTGAGCACCTAATGTGTGCAAAGGCCAGGGCCAAGGAGGGCAGGGGCGGAGGGAGGCGAGGTAACTGGGGGGAAGTAAAGGGATGAATAAGGCATGGTTCTTGCCCTCACAAGCTTTACAACTGGTGTGCTATTGAAAGAAGGATTTGCTCAGCCACCTGAGCCCCATGGAGTGGGAGAAGGACGCACATAAGCCTGTCATTCTGCCTTTCCCATTGGCTAACTAGCATGCCTTCAGGTGGCACTGCCCCCTTCACAAGGTGTTCTGGCAGCTCATCTGAGAAGGTCCCAACTGTTCCTCACAGGGGAGGGCCCTGCCCTCTCTTTCCTCTCTCCCCCAATCCCTTCTTGTTGCCTCTCACCCAGGTATACTACATCAACTTCACTGACTTTGCCAGCTACGAGGTGGTGGTGGATGAGAAGCCCTTCCTGCAGTGTACCCGCAGCATCGAGACAGGCAAGACCAACTACAACACTTGTTACACCGCAGGTGTCTGCCTCCTCAAAGCCCGGCAGAAGATCGCCGTGAAGATGGTGCATGCAGACATCTCTATCAATATGAGCAAGCACACTACCTTCTTTGGGGCCATCAGGCTGGGCGAGGCCCCTGCATCCTAGATTTCCCCTATTTTGCCCCTTGCCTGTGCCCCTGCTCCAGGTTTGGGAGCCAGGACTCCCAGAACCTCTAAGTGCTGCTGTGGAGTGAGGTATATGGGTATTGCAGCCACAGAGAGAAATGCCCCAGTGCTATTTATTCCCCAGTGACTCCAGGATGACAAGCCCTGCTTGACTTTCCAGAATGACCTTGAGTTAACAGGACAGTTGATGGAGCCCCAAAGTTTACATGAAGCAGAACCTTCCTCCTCGGCTCCATGCTGACTAACTGGCTTATGGCATGACTCTTCAGCCTCAAGGTCCCTGCTGTCAGAGTTCTGGTTTGTTGCACTAAAGTGAGGGTCCAGGGCAGCAGGCAAGAGAAAGCAAAGGTGTACTCCAGACTGTGAGGGTAAACCTGACCCAAAGGGGGCTGCTGTTCCTCTCTTGGGTGGGGGTGGGGCCAGGGATGGGATGGGAGGGGAGTGTTGCATCCTAAGGAGAAGGGCAAGGAGGGGGAAGGCAGGTGTTGTGGCACAGACCAAGGGAGAACCCTGCCAAGCGGGCATCCTCAGCAGTGGCAGCGTTCTTGCTGCTCCGCACTGCAGTCTACCGAGGGTCGGAGAGTTCTTCCCACTCAGCCTGAGAGCTGTGTCGTGGCAGCTTGCTGGACTTTGGGGACAAGAGGTTTGCTCTTCCTTGTAGCAATTGCAGGGAATGGCCACAACCTGCCTGCATGAGAACCTGAAGCCAAACTTGTGGCCACATGTCTTTCACTTTGTTTACAGCTATGCTCCATGCTCAGAAACCTCCCTGGGTCCCTTCCCAATTGCCCCCCTTCCCAGCCTGACTAGAACTCCTGTCTTCTTTCTCCACAGAGCCTACCTCTGTCTGAGGCAGGTGCCTAATCTGGGACCTGTGCTTATGTGAGTCTGAGATACTCTTTAGATTACCTGGGCCCAAAGAGAATTTTCCATTTATTAAGCAAAACAAATATTAGTCTAGTCGAGTTGTGTCTGGGGCAAAGGGTTAGACTGGCTGACCTCCAGAAGTCCTTTCAAATTCTCATATTTAGGCAGCTACCCTGATAGCCTACTAAACTTCCCAAACCCTAGACTGCTTCTGGGCATTGGTGAGACAGAGCTTTTCTATGTGACCCAGAGAGGGTAAGAGGTGGGGATAGGACAGAGGGGTTTTTCCAAGTTTGCTGCAACTCAAGTGATCATCAGCCCAGGCTTTACCTGAAAGGACAGCAGCTGATGCCCTAGTGACAAACACTTTCTTTGCTCTGGTTTCAGAAAGCCACAGCAGAGCATAGTCACCATAGATTCCAGTGCTGCTCCCCTGAATCCAGGCTCAGGAGAAGCCAGTGTCTAGGCATTGGACAGGGCTCTGCCCTCTAGTCAGGTCCGAAGACACCTTCCCCCCTACCCAAGCTTCCCACCAGATCATATGGTGGGACCAGTCAAGGGCCTTATTTCTAACTGTCTGGGCCCAGCCTGGCTTCTGGGTGCTGGGTCTCACCCAAAGCCAGGAGGGCTAGTCTTGTACAATCTACTACTGGTGCTCCTGAAACAAGTTTCCTTTTGAAGAGATGGGGAATAAGTTCCTTCAGGCAGCTGAAATTCGCCAAGAACAACAGGTACTCATTTCTCAGCTGTGCCTTCCCTTTCTGAGCAACTACGCTGCTTGGCCCCCAGGGGTCAGGGAGAGAGGTGATGGGCTACGCCACCATTGCCTGTTGCTAATGAGAGCTTTGTAACCCAGGTGAGGCAAACTATAGGCCTGTGTCTGGCCCCGGCCCTTATAAAGTGCCTTAGTCCTCAGTTGTAGCAGGATCTGATGAGAACCTCTCCTTAAAGTTTGGAAAGTACTTTCTTTTTTTGATAATATTAGAAATCCCATTGTTTAGATGAGGCTTAGAGAAGTTAAGTGCTTTGACCAAGATGTCACTCAGCTTAAGTCACAGACCTGGGGTTTCAGCCAGATCTGACTCCAAGGCTATTCCATTATACTGCAGCGTTGTGTTGAATTTGGGATCTAGAGAGAACAAATAAAAATGGTAATATGGACCCAAAATCTTGAGGGTCTTAGAGAGAAACCCAGAGATGCTCGTTTTCATTCCTTGATGGTAATTCCTGTTCTCTTGGCTGCTGGAGCCTCTGTGGCAAAAGAGTAGGACATTTATTTGGCAAACAGCCATCAGCCTTAGAGCTCTTATGTTCAGAAGAATTGTCTTGGTGCCATCTCCAAGCAGCTAGCCTTCAGTACCACAGAACTGATACACCTTATGTTCTTTCACCCTCCCAATGAACCAACCAACCTTTATGTATGAAGCCCCTACTATGGGCAGGGTCCTCTTTTGGTTACCATAGAGAGGGGTTACAGGAGCTGGCCCACTTCCCACAGCTACTAAGTGACTCATCTCTTGCTACCATACCACAGAGGCCTTTGTGGTGATCTCTTAGGGATGGAGAGAAGACCTGAGAAAGGACTGGTTCTAAAGCCAAAAGGGCGTGAGGAGAGGGAAGGAAAAGGCTTCCTAATTGTGTCTCTAAAGGACTTCTGACACCCATCCTTTTCTCCAGATATAGAGGCACTTAATAGGGGAAATAGGATTCACACACGACCACGATTCATTGTGAACTCTCAAAAGGAACCCTAGAGGGAGGGGGGTGATGAGGGAAGCAATAGGTAGTTGAGGAGTCCTGTCGCTGTGAAGTTATTGGCAAAGTGGTGAAGCAATTTACTTGTAAGAGAATGTGGAAATAGATTTACACTTTGGAATTATGCTGATATGAGTTTAGCAGAGAGCCAAGGCTAGCATGTAGAATGGAACGAGGACATTTGTGAGTAAGCAGATGACAGAGAGAATCACATAGCAGGGGCCTTTGCCAGCTACTTGGGCTTCAACAGCCAGAGCTGGCACAAAAGGCAGCTGTTAGGGGCTGCTCAGCTACCCATTCCTTGGAAAACGTAGTCCTTGCTTTATTTTCCCCTTCATCCATCTTGAGCCAAATTTCTTTTGCTGAGCAGGAAAGTCCTAGGAACCCTGGAGGTGAACAAAGACTTTGATCCACGTGTCAGTAGAGTGTTTTATATAACTTCTGGTGGATGCAAATAGAGTCAGAGAAATTTAGAGCTACAAAGGCCCTTAGAAGGAATCTAGCCCAACCCCACGTTACTTAAACATGAAACTGAGGCCCAGAGAGGAAGGGTGACCTGCCCAAGATGTATGAGCCCAAACTCCAGACTCAGCAGAGTGAGGGAGTGGAGCAGTCCCTGTCCCATATGGCCTCCTTTTTTCTTCCACCCATAGACTCAAGGCTGAAAGTGCTTGGCCCCCTTCAGGAGCTGGGACAGGTGGGGAGAGAGTAGCAGCAACCTTCATCAGAACTCCTCCTCCCCCCAAGGCATACTCCCAGCTCCTGCCTCTGGACTGGAGGCTCTGGATTGGCCCAACACCAGGAAGTCCTAAGGCCACCCTGGCGCTGCCTCAGGCCCCGTCCCTGTCTGGAGGCTCCCCTAGGCCATGTGAGCACAAAAAAGAACTGGATTTTTTCTTTTAATCCATTTCAGGGCTCTCTCCAAGAGGAGTTGGGGGTTGTCATTTCTTTTTTCAAAAAGCTTCCAGCTGGAGTAAGGGGTGAGCGTCGTTGTGAGAATGGCCTGGAGCAGGCCCAGTGCTGCCTTGGGGGTCAGCATCCAGTGTGAGATACTGTGTATATAAACTATACATAATGTATATAAACTGGGATGTAAGTTTGTGTAAATTAATGGTTTATTCTTTGCAAATAAAGCTTTTCCCCCCTGTTCTTGAAATTGGCTTGAGAACTTCCTACCTGCTAGGTACTTCTTTGCAAGTGACTCCACACATTATCTAGGGGAAGGACCAAGGCACCCATTTCAGAGGGGGCAACAGAAGGAAAGTAGTCTGAATTTCCTGTCAGAACCTCCCATATCTTCTCTGTGCCCCAGACCACATGCCTCCATGCCCATCCCCATCCCCATCCCCTTAGGTATTTTCCTATAACCACGTGTCCAGTAGGCTAGAGGTCCTGAAAAAAGGACAATTGTCCTGAGGCAGGGACACAGCATGGAGTCACCCTCAGCTTGAGACTGTGGCATCTATAACAGATATTTCAGGCCTGAGCCCAAAACAGTTTGGGTAGATCCAGTCTCCAGTTCCCCATAATGCATCATCCCATTTTGCAGATGAGGAGACCAATGCTTAAGAAGTTTCAGTAGCTCACCCAAGGTCAGCCAACTAGAAAGGTTACTTAAACTTTCAAAGGACTGTTGACAAGATCCTACAGTGTAAACTTTCTTTTCAACATTGAGATGCCATGAAACTTAGGCCATTGTTTGCTCAGGGACAGGAAATGGGCAAAGTGGTTGGGGGAGAATAATTTGTGTAGCTCTCCAGTTTACAAAGTTCAATCGCATTCAATATCAACTAGTAAGTGTGTTAGTTTGGTCTGATTCCAAGTCCAGTGCACTTTCTGCTCTACCATGCTGCCTTCACCACTTGGCCCTAAGCACTTTGCACAGTGAAGCCCTGTGGAGGCTAAAATAAAGAAGAGGATCACAGGAATAAGACCAGATAGCAGCTCAGGAACACCTAGCCTCAGAGAGTTCTGGGCACTTTTCACAACCCCAGCAGCCTTTGTCCCCATTGTATAGGTGGAGAATGTGGCACTTAAGCAGCACTGTGCACACAGCAACCTGTGACAAATCAATGCCTAGGTGTGCATGGGTTGGGTGTTGGAGCCCACGCTGGTCCTCTGGCTGCCTTAGGTAGGAAATAGATTTTGTTTAAAGGAAACCAGTCACAGGAAGCCTGGAGATCATTTAAAAACACCTTATGGGAGCTCAGGGAAAATGTCATCTCTGGCACAAAGAAGTAACCGAAACAACAGAAAAGTGAAAGCATTTCTTTGCCCCACTATGTACAAATCATCACATGAATCAGGCACCCACGGCAGAGGCAGCAGATCACACTGTGGTGAAAACACAGGATGTTCTAGACAAAATTGACAAAGTCTATGTAGGTAAATCATTGGGACCAAGTGGCATCCACCCAAAAAGGTTGGAACGAGGGGGCTGTAGGCCAAATTGTGTAACCTGCTGTTGCCAAAAACTATTGGGCCAAGGGTCTGAGAGACTTGCCATCTAGAAGGAGAATTCTTTATGGCTGCCAGAAGCCAGGCACCTCACTTCCATCTTGAGCAGACTGGCTGACTCTCTAACGAAGGGCAGACTTAGAAAGCCAGGCAAGGATAGACAAGTTGTTGGGGGAAAGATGGGAAATTAGGCCTTGCCTTGACCCATTCTATTACTATAAGGCAGAAACTGAGTGTGGACCAGGGAGTGTTAAGGGGTATTGATTACTTAAACTTTCAAAGGACCATTGACAAGATCTTACACTGTAAACTTTCCTTTCAACATTGAGATGCCATGAAATTTAGGGCATTGTTTGCTTAAGGACAGGAAATGGGCAAAATGTTTGGAGGAGAGTAATTTGTGTAGCTCTCCGGTTTACAAACTTGAATCACATTCAATATTTGGTCTTCCCAATAGCCTCTGAGGTAACCAGGGGAGGGATTATTAGTCCCATTTTACAGATGAGGAAACTGAGGCTCAAAGGTGACTAACTGCTCCAAGTCACATCTCCTGAAGGTGGTGGAGCCTGAACTCAAAGCCCACTGGATCTCAAGGCACCCAGTCCTGCACGAGTCTCAATGCCAGGAGATGGGCCTGCTTCAGAGCTAGAGAACGAGAGACATGTGCAGGGCTCCTAGGCCCTCAAACAGACGAGTTGGGCCACAAGCAGTATCAGAAGGTGGGCTCTTTATTCTGTCCATCCTCAGTGCTGATGCTGAGTGGGCATATGTGAGGAAGCCTTCAGGGTACCTCTCCCCTAGGGCCTTCCCTGCCTTTTGAGGCTAGCTCCCTTGTAGCCCCAAGGAAAAGGCAGAGAAGAGCTGGAAGGAGGAGTGAAATGGAGGAAGAGGGGTCCAGAAAACAACCAAATGAACAGCCCCTCCTCACATGGAGGACTGGCCAAATCAGGAGCAAGAACCTCATAGGTGACTTTCGTCCTCCTCTTTCCCTGGTTCCACACCTTCCAGCCGGGCTGAGAGCCTCCTGGGAATGTCTGTCAAGCTATCACCAGCTCCTGGGTCTCTGAGATGCCAAATCTGGTCTTATGCTGGTCGAACAGTTTACATAGTGCATCAGTATAGAGTGCGTGGTATTCAGCCACCATCTCCTGGCTTGGGTTTTCAATCTTGGGCACTGGTAGAGGCTTCCCAACTACCAGAAGAGACAGAGAAGGAAAAGGGGAAAGCATCAGAACAGCTCACTCCTCAGAATAGGCCTCAATCCTCAAGCCCAGGTTCTCCTCACCCTTACTGCGACCCCACCACTCATCCTGGCCAGCTTCCTTGCCTCTGGACAAAGCCAGAGCCAAGGTTCAGCCTGAGAATTGGATCCTATATCCTAGACAAAGCCTCCAGCAGAAGGGGCTACTTACCAATGGTGGTTACAGGCCGAGCATAGGGCAAAAGGCCCCGGGAGTTCTCAGTGAAGCCACGCCCATAAAAAGCACAAGGGTAGATGTGTACCATACGCTGGAACAACTTCTGGAAGCGATTGCCCAAGCTCCCAGGAGGGAAAATGTACTGATTGTAGAGGTCTGTCTCCCCAAAGGAATAGGCAGGGATTAGAGCCACCCTGCAGAGGAAAGGCATGTTCTTTGATGGCCGGAAAGGTAGGGACCCTGCTGAAAGCCAGACACACTGACCACCAGTGGTCCCTGGGTCTGCCTATAGGCTCCTCAGCCACTAACTTAGCTGGGCCTAGGTCTAGGCTAAGTGTGAGGGCTTCATAGTCTATCCCAGGCTGCCTGTGGGGGCAAAGTAGCAGCAAGCTAAAGGAAGCAAGTCCCAGACCCTCCTGTGAACCCTCGGGTCTAAAACATTAGAAGATAAAACCCAAGGGCCATTTCTTTTAGCTTTCTTCCCTTTAATCCACACGGTAATTTTGGCTCTCTCTGAGTTGGGGTTACAGCCAGTCACCTTTTATGGAGGGACTAGCCCCTATGAGAGGCTAGTGTGAGAGAGAACAGGGTCAGGGCTGGCCCTCTAGCCTTTCTTCATAAGCAGAAATGCCTCCAGGACCTGGCCCAGGCTCTACTCCAACACAGAAGCAGCTTTCCTCCTCCCTTTTTAGATATCATTTCCTCAAAACCCCTTCCTCCTTCCCTGCTGGACTTTTGGAACCCCTCTCCCCAGTCTGGACTGGAAATGATCTTACCCATGCCGAAGGGCCGTGCGTACAAAGCCAGTCCGGTTCTTCAAGACCAGGGTGGTAGAGCCTGGCAGGCTGTATCTGCACTCAGCCAGGCCACCAACCACCACAACCAGCATGTTGCCTGTGCCTTTATGCGTAAGCAGAAAGTCCATGGAGGATTGGCTCACAGAGCAGCACCCTGGCAGACAGAAAAAGCCAAAAGGTCACTGGGCATTTCTCAAAGCTCCTTAACTTTCCTCCCTACCTCTTCAAAGGAGGGGAGAGCCTCATATAAGGCAGGTGAGCCTAGGGCAGCTTTTTAAGATCAGAGGGGATCACAGAGTTAGCCTCGCTCTCACCCATTACCTCAACACTTCTCCCTCAGAGAAACATTTTTTTCTTTGGCTTTATGTCCTAGGAGCCAACTCACCTGAACACATGAGATAGTCTCTGAAGAAAGGCACCCAGAAAAAGGCTCCTAGTGTGAGTAGGTAAGGTGTGATGTCAGGAAAGATCTTGGAGAAGCCTGAGCTCTCTGTGGCAAAGTGGCCAAAGTATGAATGAGACATGAGCCCATGAGGGTGGCAGACAAGGATGTAGTTCTGGCTGGGGGAGATATCATGAGTCTTCAAAAGCTGTGGAGGAAAGTGGAGTCAAGATGGGTATAGCCCTCTTGGGGAAGAGGGAAGAGGACTCTTCTTCTGGCCAGAGACCTGGAAGGGAAAGAGCTGCTATGTCCAGCCATGCAGGTTGGGTAACACACAACTCCAGGGACCATCACTCACATGGACCCCATGTGAATGATGTCCCCAACCCCGACCCTGACCTACTAGAGTTGAGGCTGGGCCTGGGGCCAAGAGGGGATCTGGGGCTCCTCACCTTGAGGGGGAAGTAATCACTGTAGTGTTTCCACAGCTTCCAATTCCTTACACAGTTGACCCGGCGACCACCTGAAACCAGACTCAATGTATCCAAGCTTTGCCCACCCCAAATTGTCTTCTTCAGAGCCCTTTTGGGCCTGCCATATGGGACTCTCACCCCCTGCTGTTTCCTGGCCTCTTAAGTGACAACCAAGATTGGCTATGTCAGGGCCAATTTAGGACAGGCCTAGCTTTCTGCTTTACTAGCTGCCCCTCCCCTAACTCACTCCAGTTCTAATCTGGGCCTTTCTAGCACCTTGAAAAGACCCCTTCCCTCAGTTTCTCTAGCCCAGGGAGGGCCGGGCTGAACGGCTGCCTGAGAATTGTCCAGAGCCTCTCAGATTATAAGAGAAGAGCAAGGAGCATGTAGCAGGTGGCAGCACAGCCCCAGCAGGGCCCTTACCTTGCTGAGGGGTCTTCCAGTCAAAAGCCAGCCAGGTGAGAATGAGCACAGTGACAGGCCAGTATGGTGTGAACACCACCAGGTAGAGGTTGACAAGGATCACAGTGGTTACTGGAGGGAGCACAGCCCAAAGTTAGTGAATTGTGAATAGTCCTTCACACTTGCCCTCCCCCACAATTCTGTCCACCCCAAGTCACACACACTCT